TTATTATTATTATTATTATTATTATTATTATTATTATTATTATTATTTTAAATACTCTGTAGTGTGATTGTGATATGGTATTTGAGGCACTGTGTTGGAGTAGCTTTCAAATTTCATTGTATTCGTGGAATGCAATGATAATAAAGGTATTCTATTCTATTCTATTCTATTCTATTCTGCTTGGGTAGAAATTGATTTTGCTTAAAACCAGAAAGGACTGCATTTCTCATTGTAAGCCACCCAGAATTACCTTGAGTTAAGATGGGCAGCCTAATAAATAAGTAAGTGAGTAAGTAAATAAATACCTACATACACATACATACATAACATACATAGCATAACATAACATACATTACTTACATACTGAGGACAAGATGAAATTTGACCAAATCTAGTGCATAGTTCTTCACATAGGAAAACAAAGGCAAATGGAAAGGATAGATGGATGTGTGAAAAAAAATAATTTCGCTTTGGGAGACAACTACATCTGCTACTCAATAAGCTTTATATTCATATTCTGTATCCAGAAAATTGAATTATAATGTGAACTAACAAGATAGTTTAATAAAGATAGTATAATAAAGATTATATTTTAGTTTGCTTTAAAAAAATTAAATATTACACCTGTAAAGAAAAGCAAAATGTTACCTATCAGCATCCCGAACTATTTGTTAACCAAATCATTTGATTTGAACATATATCTGTATATTTTATGTCTGCACTTTCTCAATACAGACCTATTTTAGCACTGAATAACCACATTTTTTCCTTAGCACTAAATCTAAGTTACGTTTTTTAAATGGTAGTGCTGCATCAGTATCTTATTAGGGCTTTTTATTCTTTTCATTGTGAAGAACATGATTCCTCTTGAAGATTCTGGCACAAGATTTCATGTTTACTAAAAGAAGTACAATTTTTTTTACTGTAAAACAAAGACTTGAGTTGAAGATATACAGTATTCCATAAATGAATTTGTATAAACTATACATTAAAATTTTAACACTTTGAAATATTAGAATAATAGTTCCATACAGGTGTTGTTAAAAAAAGGTTCCTGTATTGGAAAGAACCCATCAATATACTACTTAAACTCTTTTTCTTATAACCTTTTCTTGGGCAAAACAGAGCAAAACCTTTTGAACCAATATACCTTAAATGCACATTATTGGAGACATTTGAGGAATTTGATAGATAAATATGTCTGAAAGCATGACCTAAGAGGTCATGGGTTGTCTAATTATATATAGAATGAACAACCTATGATCTTGTCAGTGAAAACCAAACCAAAAATCAGTGTTTCAGTTTTATTGTTCTTTTTGCTCCTTCCAACTGCCATATCTCCAGGTCTGGAGGGGGGAAAAAAACCAGCTTCAGAAGGGTAATCATCAGATGTTTGGCATTTTAGAGCCCTAAAGTTGAAACCTATTTGCTTTTAGTTAGTATATGTCCTAGGAAATAAATTTGGATTTTATTTTTTGATAAGTTTTAAATCTATACCAATCTCTCTAAAGGAGGAAAACAAAATCATAAATAAATAAAATGGCAAGGCCTGAAGACTCATTCAACAGAAGAATTGATTATTTGATGTAATAATGGCATATTTCACAGCAGCAGTGCCTGTATGTGAGAAATGTTTTGGGCTGCAACAGGTGGAAAATATTTTAAAATGTCAAAGATCCAATTTTGATCCTCACCTAATTTGGTCAAGAATGAATGTTTTTAACTATCTCACCATGTAATTAAGATCTCCTGTCCCAGTAAACATACATTGCTGCATGATATATTCATTGGTGTATAGACTCTATGAACACAATCCATAGAATGTTAAATGAATTTATCAGTGGCTGCTCAGAATTTCTATTTATTTGATCCTAAGAGGGATCTGATGATCTGGAGTGCGTTTTGTGCATTCAGGGTTTAGACCTCATATGTCTTTTTTTTCCATAGCTTTGTCGAAAAGCAACAAGCCAGTCCACACCATTATCCTGAATCCCCATGTCCATCTGGTAGGGGATGACGCTGCTTGCATTGCATATATCCGACTGACTCAATATCTGGATGGAAGTGGAATGCCCAAAACAATGCAGTCAGAAGAGACCAGGGTTTGGCATCGCCGTGATGGAAAATGGCAAAATGTTCACTTTCACCGTTCAGGATCACCAACAGTACCTATCAAGTAAGTAATAGATTCATGACCCCGCCCCCCATTGCAACTTTTCTACTTGTCAAATAAATAAAGCCCCATGTTTACATCACCAGTGATTTGCATATTATTTTTCAGTGGGGCTGTGCCCTGAAGCAGCTCATAGCATTAAAGAATTAAAATAAATAACTGTAATAAAATCAGGTATACTTCCATAGCATGAATTCAGTGTCATTTTGAATAAAATAAATCACATTGAGTTGGTGGGAATTAACAGAATTAGGGGCATATTGGATGTAGCCAAGCAGAAAAGATCGCAAGAGTAATTTCCACTTTGTACCTTTGTTACATTTATCAAATCAGCTTTAGGAAAGATAACAGATTGTTTTTTAGAATTTGCTTCAGTGAATATTCACAGATTCAAGAACAGAACTGAGCTGACTAGGCTGTAAACAGATGAATGTTCTGATATTAATTTGGCTGTGGAAATAACTACAAATTATTACTTATTGTGTCAACAAATGAACAAAAATCTGTGACCTATATCTGTTTCATAGCTTTGGACTATTTTTAAAAAATGACTAAGCATACCATAACATGATATAACCCTTCAACCTAAATATCCAGGTAAGCTTTGCCAGAAAGTACCAGAAATAGGGGGAAAGCTTTGCAAAAATCAGTTGAAGATTAAACTGATGAGGTTCAAAACTATGCAATGATTTCAGAATGTTGTATCTGAGCTTAGGTTGTCTTAATTAGAGTATAATAACAATAGCAATAGCACTTAGACTTATATACTGCTTTATAGTACCCTGTAGCCCTCTCAAAGCAATGTACAGAGTCAACATATTGCCCCCAACAATTTGGGTCCTCATTTTACCCACCTTGGAAGGATGGAAGGCTGAGTCAACCTTGAGCCTGGTGAGATTCGATCTGCCAAATTGCAGTAGGAGTAGCTTGCAGTACTGCACTCTAACCACTATGCCACCAAGGCTCCATCATCTGTTGGATAATCTTCATATTCATTCCCATGAACTTTGCTCAATAAAGTTCAGGAAGGATCTAACCTTCGTTCACATATTTTTAATTTCCTCCATTATAGTCAGAAAGTGGTGGGTTTATAATGCTATAGTGTTGATTCAGAAATCACAAAACCAATATCAATAAATTTGAATTGGTTGTCTGAATATGATGAAGATTATTACTCAATCATTGTTAATGGCTAGATGCAAAAAAAAAAAAATCTCTTGTATAAACTTAAATCAGTTTTCATTCTTTTTAAAAAAACAATATAAGCATTTGAATATAAATATTTATATTCAATATCAGTATTTGAAGGAGAAAATAGGTTTAGCATTTGATTTGTTTAAGTCCTTTTAATGAACAATAAAAATAATTTAAATTTGTTTGCAAATTACTCCCAGGAGTTAGCACAAAATAATGAATTAATAATTCATTCCCTCCTTCCCCCCCCCTTTCTCTTTCTCTCTCTCTCTGTCTTTCTTTTTTCTTGTTGTCTTTTAGCTAAATGTCAGCCCCACCCATGTTGTGTCCACGCACTCCGCACTTGGTTGGCTCCCCCGGGCTATCCTCTGGCCCTCTTCATGCATGTTCTCCGAGTGCATGAAGCTGTGAAGTTTCTTCAAGTGATATGTTTATGATTGCATCATTTTGTTGTATATTCCATTGATAGCTTTTGTTTAACCTTCATTGAAGGAAATGTTTCATGGCAGATAGAAGAAGAGGTACAAGAATAAAGGGTAAAGGGAAAAATTGAAATGCGAGAGTATGTTCAGATTATACATCTCCAGCAAAAATACAAATATCATCTGCGTGCGCACCCTATAAAAACAAAGGTTAAAAATAATTAACTTTGTTTTAATTTTTATTCTTTTCCAAGTCATTTGTTTTAAAGGTTGTTGCCTAATGAGGATTTAATGAAATTCCTACTAACAGCATCTTTAATGTAGGATGTATGGTAGACATAGTGACAGATCAAAGCATTTCTATAGGTTTGGGAAGTTGCCTTTGCTGTGATTCACTATGTATAACTGGAAAAAAAAAGAGGACAAAATTTGCAGATTTGACTTCAACAAGAATAATTGTCACTGCTGTCATTTGTTCAGCAAATGTAATGGCAAATAGTTTTTTCTTTCTTTTCTAATTGCTTATTTAGCACCATTTTTAGGGGGAAAAATAGCATTTCTAGCTTTCAGAAGCCAAACAGTGAACAGATTCAATGTAGCTTCTGATGATTTAGCTTATGGGTACAATAAAAACTTTTTTTAATCATTTTTTTGGATGTACAGTAACATTTATTAAAGCAAGATATAGAGGATTTTTTAACTGATATTCTAATAAGAGATGTAGCAATCTAGAACAATTAGGTCTTAAAAGCTTAGTATCAGAAGTCTAAATTTTTCTTTGTATCAATTTATTACCGGGAAACGCCTGTTTTCTAATAATGTTGTCAAATTTAACAGCAATTTGTCCATTTTTCATGGCTTGTTGACAGCCTTGAAAGTATGAAATAAAACAGTAATTATAGATTTATTAATTTGTTCATTTTCCTACATGTCAAATGTCCCTTGAATGTCTATATACCTGCATATATACCTGCAAAACAAGCAGTTAAAACACATTATTTGAATAATATTTGTTTGCTTTTCTTGTATAAATATAATATTATATTTCCAAAAGTACTGCTCCTTCTATTTCAGTTTTTTTTTAAATGTATTAATACTTTTCTTTCTTATTAAAGTATTTTTCTTTCATTAAGAAGGGCAATCAATTTTCTGTAACACTGTATATCGCATGATATTTTGATTAATATTCTTTTTGGTAAGTAAAAATTTACAACTTATAACAGCTTGAAAATTTTTAAAGACAGAGGAAAAAAAGTCCCAATTTGTATAACTTTCATTTCTCTATACTGATTATTAATCAAAAGTGGATCTTATTCTTTATATCTTGATGTTGTAAAAAATTATGTTAGAAAAATTTAAGCTTTTCTGGTGATAGTTATTACATACTTTCAACCCACAAAAGTATTTAGAACAATCATCAGTAAATGTCTCAAGCCATATTAATCTGCTAGTGGGATATTTGAAAAGATAATGGCCTCATGCATAATTTTTATTAATAAATTTCTTCTTTTGTGAAGCAGATTTATGTGGCATTAGTGTATTTTTATGTTATGGAAATATGGCATATAATTTTCTTTACCTTTTTACCATAGCATGCGGTGATGCCATATTATTTTAGATTTTTTGTCTTCCACACAAAGATGTGAGAAATACAATGTGAGTTAGTACTCTGCACTCCACCTGAGTTATACACCTAATTTTTGCCATTTAATACACTGCAGTTTACTATGAGACAGTGTATAGGTATTTGTGTGTTTATACATATATATGTCTCTCTTTCTGTGTACACATATATATGTGTATATTCATATATATGTACATATATGTGTGCGTGCGTGTATCTATATATTGATATATTGATATAGATATATAGATATTTATATATATATATCTCCTGCCATAATGGTAAAGAACTGACAGATATATTTAAGAATTAATAAATTTGTGATTTATGCTGATATTTGATGCTTCATTGTTTTCCTTTGAAATTGCAGGCTTCATCATTCTTTACCTATCATTTACTATCAAAATGACCATTATCATAAAGGATTGAATATATTAGGGCTAGGCAACATGATTTGAATTCAGAATATTTTGCATTGAAATAATAGTTGTGTTTCGAGTTTAAAACTGGATATTCTCTCTTCCCAGAATTGTTCCTACACTCTTCTATCCATTCCAGAAATATTTTGAGCACTTCTGTTGTATTTTACAAGAGTATCTGTGGTGATACTCCAGTTTATGGATAAAGAATCCATGTCATAGATCAAGGATATCAAACTCGCGTCATCATGGCGCCATCACATATCATGACTTTTTCCCTCTTTGCTAAACCAGGCGTGGGCAGCACATGATGCATCCGGCCCACTGGCCGTGAGTTTGACAGCCCTGTCATAGATGACTTTTTTTTAAAAAAAAAAAAACTTGTTTATTTCAAACAATTGCTATTACTTGTGTTATTATAATGTACTGCCATCTAGTAGGCTATTTTCTAGTGTTCCAAGAGTTGGTGTCAGAGCACTATAAGCCTAAGATGTGGGGCTTTTTTGTTGCTCTGTACTAATTATTCTGCACACTTTACTGTATTAGTGACTTATACTGGGGTTAATTTTGCATCATATAAACAATATAGAGCATTTTTCAGTGCTGCAGTGAATGTGAATGCAGTGACCTATTCAAAACTTGGATCAATAGGTTTCAAGACAGCTACACCAAGACAGGTATTTCCATACCAAAAGCTAATGAAAGCCAGGTTTCACTAATATTTTAATTGAAGAGGTCGTGCTATTTTTTAAAAAATTATAAATTTAATTTATCACATGAATTGTTTTCATTTACTTATTAATTATATTTATTACTTTTATATATTTATATAGGAATAGTGGGTCTATGGGGGAAGATGTGGTTTGCTTTGAAAAGACGGATAAAGTTTCTGGATAACTTACTGTATTTTTCAATTTTCAGTGTAGTATAGTGCTTCTGTGTGGCTCTAGTGGTGAACTGTCTCAGGTTCAAGTTCATCCTTAGCCATGAAGACTTAGATGATCTGACAAAGGGGAATAAACCCCAACCCATTAAAAAAAATAGGTTGCCAAAGAAGCCATTCAGTTTTTCCAGAGGTTTTCTCCTATGCCTCCTATATAGATAGGTTGATTTGATTTATACTCATCACAATTAAAAAGTTCATCCACTATTGCTATTCATCCATCAAAATACTATCAAATGCCCGTGGTATAAACCAGGGGTCTCCAACCTTGGAAACTTTAAGCCTGGAGGACTGGTATAAATGATAGTCTGAATTTGGCTGGATATAATACATGTAATCTGATCTTTGGATTTTTCTCCCAAGTGGAAATGGCCATGATCCTACATGCTGGCATACAGTACATCATCTATCAGATCATTTACCACAATGCCCCTGTTTTTATTAACAGCAATGGCAAAATTATTTTACTTTCACACTCAATATTCATAAATTAATATTCATGAATCCATCTGGTTTTTATTTTGTTTTCCCTCCTTTCCTGGCAGCCATTTGGCTCTTTTCTTTGATTCTTGTAGCTTGCCAAATGAATAATACATTGTTTTCTTTTCAGAATTTATGGAGAATTTCTGCAAACACTTCATATCAAAACAACTACTTGTAACGGGTTGCATTCAGTTTATGGCTGATACAAGTGTGGGAAAATTAACTTTCAAAAAGGTTCAGTTTTGAGGAAAGTAAAGCGAATCAATGCAGAATTGATTATGCTTAAATTGATGGTCAGTGTCATACTTTCCACTACAAATTTACATTCAATTTTCCTTTGGCCAGATAAATATAAGCATAGCAGAGCCATTTTTGGAGTAGTTGGTGGTTAAGACACCAAACTAGATACTGGGAGACCATGAGTTCTAGTCTTACCTTAGACATGGAAGCTAGCTAGGTGACTTTGAGCTAGTCACTCTGTCTTTATAATCTCACAGGATTGTTTTGGGAAGAATAAGAAGATAAAGGAATATTATGTGTTTGTCACCTGGAGTTATTTATCAAACTAATAAAGATGTGATTAAAAAGTGGTCTTGCCCAGAAACAGAAAGGTAAAACTCCAAGGGCCAAAAGAAAATTATATTTGGGGTTTTGTTTAATTCCTGGTTGTCTCTAGAAGCTGAGTCATGTAATATTGAAGAAATGTTTTTTTCTACGTTTCAATTCCACATCTCTTCAGGGGAAATATGTAGAATAAATGAATATAAATTATCCTATGCCAAACCACAGGCTGATGAAGAAAGAGTGTGGTTCACCAGTGTTCTTATTTAAGTATGATTCAGTTGATGTGATAAAAAAAACACTTAAAATTTAATCAGTAGAAACAAATGTTTTATGGCTTAGTCTTACTTGAACTTTAAAAGGATGTTCTTGCAGAGTCTCTTCTGTCTATGATACTACTCATTCTGCCAAAAGTAACGTTGGGAGAGTTTCAGCATCTGTTTTGTGGATATAATCAATGCTGCCTTCCTGAATGTCCTGCTATTTTTTCCCTTCTCTGATAGACAATAAAACAAGAATGCTAGGGATATGAACATAGATCCTCGAGCACAAGGACTCATGTAATTCCAAACAAAAGCAATAAATATAATAAAACAACCTAGTGTCTCTTCTTATTCATTTCTGTAGGCTTCATTTGAATTTCAGTTGGGCAACCAAAATATCTTGTCAAAAGAGGGTGAAAGGATGAAAGGAAAAACTCACTATAAAAAAATTCTCAGTAGTTCATGTTTTTTCTAGAAAAAAATGCATATTTTTTCTTTTTATATGTATAATTGTTGAATGTGGATCAGGAAGATATTCAAATTTCCATTTGACTGCTTCAGTCAGTGGACATTCTGGGGCAGGCTCTCATTGCAGCACAAACATCTTGCTAGATCAGGGGTGTCAAACTCAAGGCTCACAGGCCAGATCCAGTCTATGGGGTGCTTAGATCGGGCCCATGGGCCCGCCCTGGAAATGGTGAAGAACCGGCCCATGGTATCTCTGCCAGTGAAAACAGAGCTCAGGAGGGCCATCCTCCCGAACTCCAATTTTGCTAGCAGAGGGTTGCAGGAAGCCGTCGCAGCCAGAAATGGAGCTTGGGAGCCCGTTTTCACTGGCAGAATGCTCAGATCACCACAAGTGCCCCCAACATGAGTGACATTGAGCAGACCACACCCACACTGGGCCCCAAGGTCAAACACAACCCTGATGTGGCCCTCAATGAAATCAAGTTTGACACCCTGTGCTAGATTGTTTGGCGATAACATTATACAAGGCACTTTGTGTATCCTATCAATTGTCAGAGAAGAGGCAAGATATAAATGTTTTTAAAAATCATTTTTGTTATGTGCTGCTTTTACTGTTAGTTTAATGTCTAAACCATCCTTGAAGTTTGTTTTTAATATCAAATTTGATGCTCATTTGGACATTTACCAACAGCATTTGCTCTTTCCAGTATTTCTGTATCATATTGGAGAGAAGTAACAGCAAGCAAACAGGATCTACCAATTCCATTTGCAAAATATGTGCTTGTGTTGCTGTGTTGTGAATCTCATTCTTAGCTGATGAATTTCTGACATGTTCTCACTTGTAATGAGCACCCATTATAGGAAACAGATAAAGTCTCCATCAAATCAAGCTGGACATCTGGTGATTGTTGATTCATCTATGCAAATTTATTGGCAACAACATGAAAAATTATTTTCCACTGCCATCTTCTAAAATATTTAGTTTTCCATTGTAAGCTACACACAGATTTCCTAATATTTTCCATCCAAATGTTAAGTTTTTACAGGTCTGCCAAGATCAATTGCATCCCCTGTTTTATTTTCTAGTTTATTATGAAAAGCCACAGTTCTTTCTTAGAAAAGGAAGAACTGGGCCCTATGTAAATAATATTGCAAAGGCTCTGCAAGTCCTAGTACTGAAAAGTCAAAGGCCATGGTAAAAAAAAACTCTAAAAGGAAAAACAATCAGTACAACTACTGTTAGGAGCGACAATAAAGATATTGAAATGATGCGTAATTTCTTCCATTTAAAATCAACTACCAATAGTAAAAGAACAAGTGGCCAAGAAATATGCCACAGACTAGGACTCAGTAGAGCAGCCATGATTGAAAAATATATTCAAATGCCCTGATGTGTCTGTACCTACAGAGATCAGAATCACGCAAGCCATGGTATTCCTGTGACACACTATGAAAATGAATGTTGGACTTTAAAGTAGCAGGATAGAAAGCATGTTAATACTTTTGGAAACAAACCAATGGATCATTGAACAAATCAAGCCAGAGTTCTTGCTTGACTTGCAAATGAACAATAACAGAATTGGAAGGGACCTTGGAGGTCTTCTAATCCAACCCCCTGCCAGGCCAGAAACTCTGGTGTTGACTGGTGGGCATGACCAGGGTTGGGGCGGCAAGGGCTGATCCCTCGCCATCTTTGGGCTGGCCCGTGGGCCAACTTCATGGCCTATCGCGGGCTGGATTCACCCCCACAGGGCTATACCAACTCTATACCAGGTTCAAATTGTCCTCCTTCAGACAAATTATGCAAGACCCAGCTCTTTGGAAAAGGCTCCAATGCTGGGAAAAGTAGAATGAAACAGGAGAGGATGACCAAAAATAAGGTGGATGGAGTCACTTGTGATGAAGGCATTTTTGGGAGACATGAAAGAACAGGTGAGGGACAGATTGTTTCGGAGAAAAAATCTGTGGTTGCTAGGAGTCAAAAAGCCTGGCACATAATTGGAAATACCAATGACATACGTTTAAAGTACGTATTGGCAATTTCCCTGTTACTTTTCTTCTTCCCAAACTAAAAGAATCAGAGAAGTCATTGAACAATGCAAAAATACCAGCCTCTTCTTTCTTGCCGACAGATTTTAAAGTTCAGATGTACCTGAGACAGATGAATTATTTCACATTCTGTGTCAAATTGTTTGGGACTGTCTAACTGTGCTGATATAAAGAAGAAAATTTAATATGTGAACCAGCTCTTATTGCACAGAAGAAAAGAGGTTCTCCAGAGAGAGCAGTCTAAATATGATCATTCCTACTGGCACAAAAAGCTGTTAATGGGAATGATGAGTTTGATTTCTAAAACCTGCCAGGTATGCTGCCAAATGACTGTTATTTCGAGTGAACTGATTTATTTGGGGTTGATGGCTTTCACAAGACAAATGTGTTGCTGTTAACGTTGTTTTAGCACATAAATGCCATTTATAATTGGAGCAGTCAATCCTCTTATTTCCAAAAAAATGGCTTTAAGTTTCACTCAGTGATCTCATTTAATGATACGGATGAAGTTGCAAATAAAAGGCTCATATGAATTATATGTTCTTATAGGAACTAAACAGCCTTCTCCAGAGCAAAATTAGAAACTAAATTTCTAATTAAATAATGAGGTCTAATGCTTAGTTTTTATGACTACACTACTATAATGCCTGAGATCAAAATTTCATATTCAGGTTTCTATGACCACAAAAATGAAATAATATATTAGGAGCCGAGCAATTGAGTTTCTAAACTGGCTTTAAAACCCATTTGTATGTATGTATATATTTATTTCAATTTATTGTATATATTTTCTCATTGTACATTTGTGCTATATAAATACAGATATTTCTCCTGCATTCAA